TTCAATTTGGCATAGCTAAAATTTATCTTTTTAAGAATAGTAATATTTCAATACAATTTTGTGAAATCCTTTGCGAGTATCTAATACTTTTTCGTCAGCTAAATTTTTATTTTTTATTTTTATACTTTACTAGCCGGCCACGGATGCGCAAGGCTTCGCCACGCGCTGAACGTATGCATATGTATGTACATTTACGTATTTGAAGAAAGAAATCATGTCATCATGTACTTCGTTTATTATATACAGTACCAGGTTGACCAAGCTTTTCCCGGAGTGCATATACTTTTTAAAGTTTTCAAGATGTGGATGGCTTTAAAAAAATATTTTAGAAACAAATGGATTTCGATATCTATTAAGTAAATACCTTATTCTAAAATTTAGGTGGCAACCCTATTCCGAAATAGGAAGGAATAAATGGTACATATCTTGAGCGCATATGTACTGTGTATACACAAAAAAATGTTGATTGTAATTAACAAGATAAAATTTTGTATTACATAGAAGCGTGGCAACTAAAGCGTGGTGACCAAAGTTCTCAACAANTGTGTAGAATTGAAAACAAGTGGCAACCTTACACTATTATCCTAAGGGATAAGATTTTGTATATAGGAAAAGCATTGTTTAAGGACCTTCTCTTGATGCCCATAAATAGTAATATTTTACCCTTTTATAACAAAAAATTAAATAAATATGCGATCCAAAATAGGTGGCAACCCTCTTAAAATACTTATGAATTTGAGATATTTAAAATACCTTCCATTTGATACCCATATTATGATGTTTTAATTGATTTGTAACTAATTTCGAATAGGTGGCAACCTTATACGAGTTCTTTCGGAGATAATGCTTATTCAGATAACCTTAAAATCCAAAACATTATCTGTGTACAAATTTCATAAAAATCGTTAGAGCCGTTTCCAAGAACCCTATGGATATATATATGTATATATACAAGAATTCCTCGTTTAATGTAATAAGATAAAAAATCTTGAAAAAATCCGTTCAGTAGATTGGTTAAAATATCTCGCCTTTCCTTAATACTATATATAGAAGATACTAATTTTAAATAGGTGGCAACCCTAATCAAACAACTTAACATTTTTGTACATGCGAAGGCCATGCACTTTCATTTGGTGTATTTCCTTTTATCCAACGAACGGTGAAGATCTTATAGTTTTTAAACAGGCGGCACCCTACTCAGAAAAATAATACATTATTACACATCCAGAGGCTAAGTCTTTTCATTTGACAGTGACGGTAGAGAACTGATGCCTACGCTTATTATGATTGAATATGGTAATCTTATTAACATTTGGCAACCCTATTAAAAAAACATTAGTGCTTATCTAGAGGCGAATCCCTTTTTTTCGACACCTCTACTTTTGTAATCCAACGAACGGGCGGATCTTATAGTTTTTTTAGATAGGTGGCAACCCTATTAAAATTATAAGTAAAAAAAGATCCCTCTCCTGTCGATACAGAGTATATTAGAGAAAATCTCGTCAAAATCCGTTCAGCAGTTTTCGCGATTATCGCGTACAAAGATTCTCGACTTTCCTTTATACTATGTATATATAGATAATACTGGTTTATTTTACAGTAAAACCCGCTTAAGTACCTCACGAAAAATGTCAGCTTTTTGAGGTACTTAGGAGGGTTGGGTACTTAAAAGAAACCGCTTAAGTACCTCGATGCGGATACTTAAGCGATCATAATTACTGATGTAGTTACATCTTCTTGTTAACTTACATAAATACTTAAATAACAACATTTAATGAAGTATACATAGTTTAAAACCAAAATCGTACCATTATTTAAATACATAAACAAGTAGAGAAAAACTTTATTAAAAAAAAAAAGAATTAAATTGTTTAAAAAGTCAAAGTTGGACATATAACTTTGTACCAAATTCAAAATGATATTGTTTGCCACTTATGTTAATTTATTAATTTTTAAGATTTTCCAACCAATTAAAATGCAGTTCATTCCCTAACAAATACCATACAAACCCAAGCTTAAAATTTTGTAGAACACTTAAAAAAAATCGTCATAATTTCAAACTAGAAGTGTTGTTTTGAGTGTACAGTTTTACAGCCCATTCAATTTTAGTGTAATAATGTGCAAGTTTCAAGTGGCAAAAGGTTACCGTTTATTTTTTAGAAGATGTGTAGTNCTAGAAGTGTTGTTTTGAGTGTACAGTTTTACAGCCCATTCAATTTTAGTGTAATAATGTGCAAGTTTCAAGTGGCAAAAGGTTACCGTTTATTTTTTAGAAGATGTGTAGTGCTGCTACTGAATTTCAAAATACGTAAATATTTTAAGAAATTTTAAAAGAGCACTTGAGGTGCTTAGGCGGGGTGGGTAAATAAGCGGGGAGGTACTTAATAGAGGCATTTTCTTCAGATTATATTAAAAAATTCACGGTGTCCAAAAATGTTGGTTACTTAAGCGGGTTAGGTACTTAAGCGGGGGGTACTTAAGCGGGTTTCACTGTGTTTTTTCTTTTATTGCTAATTGTATGGGAGGTACCACGTCCCCTTTTACAATAGCTCCAATTTTTCTCCAAGAGCGTGCGATTGATTTCGTATATCTCTATACCAAGATCCAGAACTCTACTATGATGAAAGTGCTCATATGGAGTATGAAAAAATTCGGTTTGTATTAGAAGTGCCACGCCCCCTTTATATATAGTATTTTTTTTGGCCTAAGATAATCCTTGGGGCACGTGCGGCAGGTGTCTGAAGTTTCAAAAAAAAGTCGGTTCAGTCGTTCTTGAGCTTTTCGAACACTAAAAAAAAACGGCTCTCAAAATATATATTAGTATAGATAACCGAACCGTACCCTGCAAAATACGTTTTGCTTGTTCAAATTTCCATTCTAAGAACAAAAGGGTTTTTAAATATACAAAAAGTTAATAATAAAATTTGAACTTCTAACGCTTAGACTTTGTTGCTTTTTCCATTTTTCCTAATGAACAATCGTGGTACAAACCTCAATAACACTATTGGAAAAAGTCTTACTTTTATGATTGTAATGTCATTTAACTTTGTATCAAATTGAAACTAGACTTTCCCAATTGGTACAATGTAAAAGGATTATGGAAAGTTGAAGGGAATACATTTATAATTTAAAAGACTATCGATAGTCTATCCATGGTTTGTAAAAACTATCATACTGTTTAACAACTTTTCCGGCATATGTAGATCCTAGTTTCAACGAGCGCAAACCTTATTGGATAAAAAAGCGGTACATCGCGACGTACCAAACTAGCTGTGATATGGCTAAATTTATCTTTATTGAAAATTAGCCTCTTAACACACATGCATATGATTTTAAATATATACAATACTTTACATGAGTACATATATGTATGTACATACAACTCGTTGATCTAAAATATTTAAATATATTAGTAATTGTGATGTATATTGTCTATTATTAACGCACATGAAAGGTGTACCTTTCTTTCAGTTACATATGTACATATGTATGTATGTATGACCACAAGTATATCGGCGGTAATTATCTAATCACTATCGATTTCCATGACCTTCAAACGGTTTGCAGCTTTTAAACGATCGTCGAATATATCGTCGTTTAAAATACAAAGCCGCGTATCAGCAAAATGCAAAACCGCGTATGTGAAGTTGTAGAAATTATTTTCTAGAGCGTAAAAACACTCATATTCCAAAATGGTTTTCTTTTTTATAAAGCAATCGCATTTCTGACTAGCATATTTCTGGACGAATGGATAAGGATTGAGCCACAAGAGCTTGTGTGAGCAAATCCAATTTTTGGCAGCAAATGCCAGTTACGCAGTTTTGTACTTTAAGCGATGGTATACATAAATAACACTATCTCTTTTCTCCACAGAGTGTATGTTGGCTTATACTAGCGAACATTTTGTTTTACTGTTGCACGCTTTTTTTATATACGAAAGCCAAATGCCTGTAAAAGATCATTTTCAATACGATTCGCCTAGTTGGAAGTCAGAAAGTAACTACATAGTAGGGTACCCTATTATGCGACTTTTTTCCAAAACCGGGTTTCGAGTTATTCGAAAAAAGCCAAATTGAAGACAGCCGGTCCTTAATTTTTAAATTCGGAAAAACCGGGTTAGACCAGATATTTGCTATTAATTTTTAGCTTTTTGATGACGCTTACAATTAATCAGAAATGAAAGCCAAAGTTTAATAAAACTATTTAAATTGCGTTTGGCTTTCATTTAAAAGGCAATTACATGGAATAAGTTCAAAGTTAACCGCATTTGGATTATTAGTAAAGAAAATATTAAATCTAATAACTAGTGAAAGTATCTGGAATCAACTGATTTTTTCTTTAGCAGTTAAAAACCTAAAATTTTTATTTTTATAATTATTTCCTAAAAACAAAATTAAGAGAAAACTCATATTTAATAAATTTAGTCTACACAGCTTCTCATCTTCTAGCTGCATTTTTGAGGTTCTATCAATATACTAGAAACACCGGTTGATTCGATAAGAAAGCTCCGATTTACTCGATATTCGAAAACTTACGCTTTCAAAAAAACCGGCCCCCCCAAAAAAAACGGCTAACCCCGTTTTGGTAAATCCGAGTCAATCACCCTAGTACATAGCAAGCTATATGAAAAATTCATAGAGATTCAAGAGTAGCGTCTGTACTTTCTTTCTCTTAATTATCTTTGGAAAATACTGCCTCATTTTATATATGCATATGTAAATACATAAGTAGTTGAAATTAAAGTTGAAAAATTATTACATAATATTACACAGTTAGGTATAAAAGCTCTTCGCAAATAATCAACTTGCTACAGTACTGAAAGTACATTTCATCTAAAGTGACTTATTTGGACGGAAAATAGCTGAATATAAAAAAAAAATATGAAATATTTTGTAAGTAACAATTTAGTTAACCAAAGGATTATTGCCGTTGAAAACAAAGTAAATTTGAATTTTTTCTCCCTATTTTACAATTAACAGTTTCTAATCGCCTGTTTGGTAATGTGTACTCATTTGAGTTCCGCTGCACAACACGCTCTTTTTAAGCCGTCATCGCGCTCCGATCATCATCATCATTCAGAGGTCACCAAACATTATCCTGTCCAAGTGGTCGAGAAGGTGCCATTCCACATACCCCATCCAGTGCTCACAGAGGTGGAGAATAAGCTGAACGTACAAATACCCGAGCCTTATGCAGTGCACATGCCTGTAGAACATGAGATTGAAGTGCCTATGTATAAAATCGTGACCGATATTAAAGAAAAACGTATACCATATACAGTGGATAAGCCGTATCCCGTAGAAGTGGCACATCACTATCCGGTTGAAGTAGTTAAGGAAATTAAAATTCCTATCCCCAAGCCATATCCGGTACCATACACCATCTACAAGCATATATGGCAAAAGGAACATTAGTGTGGTAGAAGAACAGCGGGGAAGAAGAAGAGCGTACATACATAAATATGTTTGCTTGAATAGTTTTAGGAAGTTTTAAAATATTTATTTAATTTAAAATAAATTATGAAGGTTTTTGCAAGATTCCGAAGTTTTTACTACAAACCATGTTTTCACAGTCATTTGGTTTTCATTTTAAATGCTAAAGATTCTCCTGATTTCTCCTGATTGCGTTTTTCTCTCCGATACTTCCTCTTTGTCCTCCTCTTCTGAGTTTGTGAAAGAGGACCAACTCCGCCATTGGAGGGTCGATGGCAGCGCGCTGCTCTCGATCCACATACCCTGCAAGAAATTGGTCCTCTTCCGGCTCTGAAAAAGAGAAAAGAGAGGATTCAAATTATCTGGAAATGGTTGGGGCTGCAAATGCGGATGATTTTCTACATATACTACTAAAGAAGTTTAAAGGTAAGTTGTTAATAAATATGAAGATATGCATTTAACAAATTTGTTTAATTTTCTCTGAGATCTTAATAACAAGGACACAAGTGCAAATGACTTCGGTCTTGTTTTTTAGGTGTTATTTAAATTGTTGCATAAAAATTTTTTTTTGGCATATGTAACTATGTACATTTTATAAACTTTTTTCATAAATTTTGCATAATTCTTGCATATTGTTGCATAAATTTGGGTATATTTTGCATATTCAGTTTGGAAAAAATTCCGAACTATGTATATATATGCACTCAGAAAAATAGCGGCTAAATATATTTCTCTCAACACATGATTTGGTTATAGTTACGTTATTTGGTTAAAGTTACCAAATTATGCGTTGAGAGAAATATTTTTAGCAGACTTTTTTCTGGGTGTGTTATTAAGTGGTATCTTTAGCACAACTCTGAATTAATTTCTTAGGTTAACTGAAAAACTTGTTTGAAAAAGAAGAAATGCTTTCCCTTGTCCCATTCCATTTATATAGTCTGGAAATGCAATCTACACAGTACCTGAAATCAATATTTTCTCCATTTTGGACCATTTTCTGTGTGCCGCCAAGGCTACTTAAAATTGACGCCAACTCCCTCCAGAAGTGAGTTTGACCAAATTTTGTTTAGAAAAACTCTTGATTGCAGGTTTATTATCCCATCGCATTGTAGCAGATTACGTTTTTTTAAACTATTTTTAATGATCATCTCCCACATTTTCTCCATATATGTATCGAGAAAACGTAATATCGGATGAAATGGAAAACAGATCTGTAGCCAAGAGTTTTTCTAAAAAACTTGAAAATTAAGAGAGGATATTTCATAACTTAGAAGTGTTTGTACGAAATTGTGTTTGACCTCATTAATTTGGCTTAGTTATAATAATTGATTAACTTTTTTTGGTGTAATAATAATATCTGAAAAATCAAATGCAAACCGATGCATGCCCTCCGGTGTATCGAAAATATCGAAGTACATTTCGGTGCATCGCATCAAAGAAATGCGTCGATGTAATTTTGTCATTGGCATCCCTAAATGAAAACATTTTGACAATTGTTTTAATTTTTTCACAGAATGCGAATCGAAAGTGTAATGAAAACGCGAAAAAACTTCAACAATTTTCACCATTTCACAGATCGAGAATTGAAACCCCGGAGATATAAACATATTTCATGAATTACATTTTTCCTTTTGTCATTCACCGTTTAGCTCCATCTAGCGATAAACCAATTCGTATCTAATATAGTCTGGCCAGACCCAGGCCCATTGAGAAGTGGGGGGATAGGGGTGAATCCCCCCGAGCCCGGGCTTCTTAAGGGGCCCGATATATCAGAACCATAACTTGGGGTGCGTTCAGAAATGCATCAAGCCAAAGCATCAGATTCTTTTATTTCTAAACTATAATTGATGGAAATGTTTTATTTGAGCAACTAAGTTCCAATGCGGCTTTTAACCGTGGTTGCGCATATTTGACATTTCCATCAATTATAGTTTAGAAGTAAAAGAGACTGATGCTTTGGCTTGATGCATTTCTGAACGCGCCCTTGTTATTATTATTTTTTTATAGGCTTTTATTATAAATATTCAGCCTCATTGCGTAAGTCGTAAATTGTGTATGCTAAATTGTACGACTCCACATCACTGGCACTGTCNGTTTGACCTCATTAATTTGGCTTAGTTATAATAATTGATTAACTTTTTTTGGTGTAATAATAATATCTGAAAAATCAAATGCAAACCGATGCATGCCCTCCGGTGTATCGAAAATATCGAAGTACATTTCGGTGCATCGCATCAAAGAAATGCGTCGATGTAATTTTGTCATTGGCATCCCTAAATGAAAACATTTTGACAATTGTTTTAATTTTTTCACAGAATGCGAATCGAAAGTGTAATGAAAACGCGAAAAAACTTCAACAATTTTCACCATTTCACAGATCGAGAATTGAAACCCCGGAGATATAAACATATTTCATGAATTACATTTTTCCTTTTGTCATTCACCGTTTAGCTCCATCTAGCGATAAACCAATTCGTATCTAATATAGTCTGGCCAGACCCAGGCCCATTGAGAAGTGGGGGGATAGGGGTGAATCCCCCCGAGCCCGGGCTTCTTAAGGGGCCCGATATATCAGAACCATAACTTGGGGTGCGTTCAGAAATGCATCAAGCCAAAGCATCAGATTCTTTTATTTCTAAACTATAATTGATGGAAATGTTTTATTTGAGCAACTAAGTTCCAATGCGGCTTTTAACCGTGGTTGCGCATATTTGACATTTCCATCAATTATAGTTTAGAAGTAAAAGAGACTGATGCTTTGGCTTGATGCATTTCTGAACGCGCCCTTGTTATTATTATTTTTTTATAGGCTTTTATTATAAATATTCAGCCTCATTGCGTAAGTCGTAAATTGTGTATGCTAAATTGTACGACTCCACATCACTGGCACTGTCTACTGTCGTGATAAAATAAGTAAACGTAGAAAATCGTCAAAAATATACAGTGCTGCCAAGTTTTTCCGTATTATACACTAGTCGAGTGGAAATTTTAGGCAGTATATTCCGATTCGTGCTGATTGCTTCTGACTATAAATGTATATATGGCCCAAAACCCGTACTGTTACAATACGTTTAGGCTTTTCAAATACCGCTGAAACTTGCTAGAATACAACTTTCGGATAGTTTTTTTCGTGCATCTGAAAGCATAAGTATGTATGTGGCAATATTTAGTATATACCTAAAATATATTGTACCTCCTGTTATTTAGGAGATATAAATGTTTCAACAGCGGAATGTTAAATTAAAAATTTTGGAAGTATGTAATTTTTAAAGCTGCTTTATATTATCCAAAAAGTCTGCTCTCCGTATATAACTCAATAACTACGTATTTATTGAACTGATGAAATTAATTTTGAGGTCAATATTTGCAAAACATAGTCGGACTGTTACGTTACAGAAAAAGACTGTTACGTTACCTATACGATATACATACGTGTAGATTCGAATTATTTTTTTAAATGGCTTGTAGTCTGTTTTATGCAATAAGTAGCATGAATTAAGTAGACTTGGGATTTGACTAGTAATGCAAAACGGCTTTAATGGCTTATCTTGTTCGCTCTATGCCACTTAGTACTATTCTTACCCTTCAAAATGCGCCTTCGAGTGGTGCTTTACGATTTTTCCTGCAGAAACTATGGCCATTGGACGATGACGTAATGAGTTAGAAAGCATATGCTTTGTTTGGCGATGTTAACTCTTTAAGGAAAAATCGTATATCACCACTCCAGAGTGTAGTTGGGAGGATAATAATAGTACTAGAAAAATACTTGATATAATACTAATAGTTTCTTACTCTTTAATATGAAAATCTTCTTCTTTTAGTTCTCGCGTTTTTTTTATTTTTCTACGTAATTTTTATTTTCTGAGCCTATTTGAGTTAGAAAGAATATAAATTTATATATATGGGTTAGTAGCAAGTTGAATAGCTTACAATGTTGCTTTCAAATGAGCCCTATCTCTAACTAATAGCGTTTTCTTTTCTCGAAAAAAGGCTGCCTTGTGTTAGCGCTGTCACATTTTCATGTTCTTTTCTCAGCCCTTTCACAAGGTGTCGTGTTATTTTCTCAGCAGGTTGCGCTCTGATCCGGCGAAAGTGCTGCCTTTTCTGGCCCAAAGTAAACATGAGGGTGAGAGTTGCATGGTTGATTTTTAATTTAATCTTGTAAACATGCAATTATTTTCCCTATCAGAAATAAGTATTTTGCTTTAAAATTGTTAAAGACTTACAGGCCAAGTGAATAATTCAGCTTTATTAAGTTCTATAAATAAATTGTGATGGAGTAGTATATTTTCTGTTTCATTCTCATATAAAGAACGCAACATTTTCTCAAGTTTCAGGGCAACGCAAAGCAAGAGTTCCCATATAAAAGGGCAGAACTTTTTTTGAGAAAAGAAAACGCTATTAATAAAAACTAATTTTACTTGAAAACTCAATTAGTAAAAAGACATTCGTTACAAATTGTTTTGCACCGAAAACACATGGAAAGTGAAGAGTATATAGGAATCTGCTTTATTGTGAAGAAGGCCGAAAATGCTTGAAGAAAACCAGATTTTTTTATTTTTTAGCCTGGAGGATTCCGCGCCAAAAAAAACTTTTTGATATTTTGGACATTACCTTAAAAATAATGCCGACTTTATTTTCATTAAGAAAGTTAATCACTGGTTATTTTGTCGCATACTTTTTATTAACTTCAAAGTATTACAAGGTAATCGAAGAGAAGCAAGTATAAAGTGTTCCCCTCGGTTTCGTTTACGGCGATTTGGGCCATATGCTTTTAATTTCATACGCTTTATATTTACATAGGGGCCTGTGATTTTTTAGTCCAGGGCCCGAGTTTTCTCTCGACGGCCCTGGCCAGACCATAGTATAAAATACGAAGAAAGAAAGGTAAAAGCGTGCGGTTTAGTATTTTTTATGACTCCGTATTTCAGATTTAATTAAATTCTTATGAAAAATAAAGTAAAAGTTTACGTATAAAATAA